CTATTTCACGCAGCCTTCTTCTATCTTCGTGAAATAATTCACCGCCTCCTGTCACGTCCCTGTTACTTTGTCACGCGATATTTGTACGGAATGTTTTGAAAGACTCGAGAGCGAAATTTTACAGGGTGATAAAATGGCGAATTTCTTATGTTTTGCTTAGATTTTTTAGGTTCCTCCTGTTATAAAGGGTTAAATTTATTATTAGTGGAATGGAAATGGCTTGGATGGAACAGTAACAAGGCTGAATTGTTAACAAGCGACATGGGATGACAAAATGGCGGACATTGACAGACATTGGCAATATAGCAGACATTGACAACTTCTATTTATTACTTTTACCTTATTCCCACTCGTGTTTTGTTTTGATTATTATTTTTTGTAGTAATTGTCTTAACTTCCTGTTTATTTTTATATTTTTAATTATATTATATTCTGTAATGCGATTTACATATTTTGTTTACACTTTGTTATTATTAAATCCATCTAATTGGTTTAATTTTTTGTCACGTGATGCTCTCATGCTCTTAGTATAAAAACCCGTGGATTTTCCCCGATCCCTACTACTAACTCTTGACGAAGGGCCTTCGCTCAAAACGTCGAGTTTCTGCTTATTTTTTAAGGTAGTAATATAACCATTCAGCACAGCATTTTCACATTGAACTGAAGATTTCTTTCACTGGCTATGTGAAGTGTCACTTCAAGTGTGACGAACTCATGCTGTTGCAAGCTATTAATTCCTTTGCGCACCTCCAAAGATAAAATAAGATCTCTCCATTTCATATAGTTAGAAATTAAATATGTGTGAGACTTTTTTCATGAGACTGATTTTCTCATAAAGTTTTCGCCAGTTATCATTGCAGCATAATTGTGGACGACTTAATTCAGATTGCATTGCCGATGGAGATTTGCTTGCAAGTAAGCAACAACAGGAACAGAAAAGGCTTTGTGTCGTTTCACTCCATACAAACCAATCTCTATCCACTGTTTCGCCATTGGGCATTACTTCTGAAAATATGCTCATCGGAAATGATCTGCTCTTGCTATCTTTTGGTAAGATCCTTGTTGGTAGTTGCAGTCCTATTTTGACCACAAATCCCTCTGACTGGCAGAAATACTTTTCCAACTTCCTACATCATTGCTAATTTCAGTATTTTGAACCGTTGATTCAATACTCGTAACATTTACTGACTCTCCATTATCTGCCGATGATTCAGGATATTCATTGGTTGACGATTCCTCGCTCGTCCTATCGTGCATTGGTACATCTGTCGAAGTCAGAGCTATAGACAAACAGCCGGCTCAGTACCTTTACAATTTGAATAATCATCACAACTACTTCCGGCGACATTTATTGGTTCCTCAGAATTAGCTTCATTGACATTGAATTCAAATGCGTGGTTCTCACCTGAATCAACTTTATTGTCCGATCCGCTATTATTTGGTTCGCTCGGAAGGTTAACTTCTTTTGTAATATGATTTGTAGCTAAAGGCGAGCTCGAGGACATAGGTTTAGACAGTGACACCGCTTTTCCCCAGTTGAGTTGATCGAACGTGGGTTCACCTTTCTTCTCATTTTGTAATGGCGCTCTTTCTTCCTCCTTTTAGACGACCCAGAAAGATATTTTCTCTTCATAGTACTCAGTGGCGGAAATTCACTTTTTCCGATGGGGGGGGGGGCAAAGCCTGCTAAAATTCCGACAAAACTATCAAATTTCCGACAACCCCCCCATTTGCACTCGAAAAGGCTGTTTTTA